CTGATAATCACTCCATGGTACATATAAAAATATTCCTCATTCCTCTGTAAGGTAGCATATACTCTACTGTGTGGATGTACTACATTTTAAGTAACCAGTCCCCTACAGATGAGCATGTGGGTTGTTTCCAGTCTTGTGCTATTATAGAGTCTATAATTACTAGCCTTGTACATATGTCTTTTCATATTTTGGCTAGGATACCTTTGGCATAGATTCTTAGGAGGAAGATTATTTTAGAGTAAATGCATACATAATTTTGCCAGATATTATACTGCCAAATTTCCTTTCATGTGGGTTGTATCATTTAGCATTTCCATCAGCATCTAAATTAAATCTCAGATACATTTGGAATTTATCCTAGTTTATGATGTAATTAAAAATGGATCTAATTTTATCTTTTCCACATGGCTATCCAGTTATCCCAGTACTATTTACCAAAAAGTCTATAACTTCTCCACTGATTTGGGATACTTTGTCATCATTCAATAAATTCCTATTTGTAGTCTATTTCTATAATTTTATCTTCTGTCCCACTGCTCTGTCTATTCATGTGCCAGTATCCAATTGTTTCAATTATAGTTACTATATGGTATTTTTTGGGCTAGCCCCCATTGTTGCTCTTTTTTTTTCAGGGTTATTTTTAGCTCTCTTTGCAATAATTACCTTACTCAAGAGTCATTGTACAGATATATTACTGAAAGCAAATGTAACTGCTTAATACATATTTCAAAGTTTGTTTTATTAAGACAGAATACACCTTCACTACATTCTTAACTATATTACAGACAAAAATAACTAAAGAAATGGACTAATAAAAACATTTGTCTATTAATAGCCAAAATTCTCAAAGTCCTTCTTAGCTTTGAGTGGAAAAAAAAAATTTAACAAGCAAATTTCTGACTGAGTCATGGAAATTTGGGAAGTATATATGCCACACACAGGTCAGCTATCATACTTGTCTTGATTAAGGAAATAAGACATTACAAATCTGGATGATAATCAATTTTGTTAAGTTTCTTGTTAATTCATTAAACAACTCTATATTTCAGATTCACAGAAATGCATACCTGGCAATCCTCTCCAGCACCACCAGACTGATTCAACAAGTGTGACGCATCACTCTGGTTACCACTTGCATGTCCAAGACGATGTTTAACAGGAACTTTATTAAGAACATATGCACCCGATGTCTGTGGTTTGTTAATTATCTGGATATACAAAATAAACACTTACATAGTAAAAGTTTAAAAGCAAGCCTAGGAATGGTATAAATTTAGGGTAGTGATTACCATGGGGAAGAAGATAAGAAAATGGGAATGGGAGGGTGCTTTAATTGTCTGTAAAATTTTATTTAAGTGAGGTGGTGATTGTATTATCCATACTTTTTTGGATGTCTAAAATATGTCACAAGTACATGGATATATATGTGTAAAAATTATTATTTTTTAATGTTCCCTCTAATTTTGTAATGTTCTGAAAGACTTAAGAGGTCTTAATTGACGGTAACTTAATAACAGTATGAAATGATCACCTCAAAAACATAATGCAACCTTGGGGTGCATTAATAGCACATGGTCTAATGATCACAGAGGTGATGGTATCACTCTTTTCTACACTATGTATCCGACGTCTAGGGAAAGCATTCACCTCTGGGCTCTAACATGAACTAGGATACAGACAAAAGTGAATGAAAATTTAGATGCAAATGAGCAAGATAATAAATGTAATTGAGGCTATGTACTAAAAGGAATATTTTTTTTAAAAAAGATCTAAATGTATTTAATCTAAACATAAAAATACCTAGCTGGAAATTATAATTATTGTCAATATCTGAATGGCTGTAATGTGTACTGATCCGTTCTTTCCTTCCTTCATCTATTCATGCAAATCTATTCATTTGAGTAATAAGTACCAGGCATTGTTTTAGGCATGAAGGATAGAATGAATACAGCAGTCAAAATCCCAATTATCTTGGAGCTTCTAAGTCAGTTTTAAAAGGAACAGAATTTTTCTATATGGGAAAATAGGACACATGGGTGGATACAAGGGAGACTGATTCTAACACAAAATAAAGTAGTAGTTCTACATCAGAGTTGTTCAGTGGTGGATGGTTACTAAGTGTCCACAAAAATCACTTAAGAGTACTTTTTAAAGATGTACATTATAGGCCCCATATCTAGAGATCAACTCTATAGGTTTGGGAAGGTGAGGCCAGGAATTTGCACCCAGGTAAGTGATTCTGAATAGAACAGCACTTCTCAAACTTTGGGGTACATAAGAATCAACTGCAGAGCTTGTTAAAACACAGATTCCTGGGCACCACCCATAGGGATTCTGATTTAGCAGGATGAGGTGAGGCCCAAGAATTTGCATTTTTCCTAAGAATCTGCATTTGTAATAAGTTTCCAGGAGAGTAGATGCTGCTGGTCTGCAGATCACACTATGAGCTCTGATGTATAATACCCAGGGACTGTGAATTTAGAAATACTGACCTAGAGGGCTGGACTAGAGGACCTTTTACGTCTAATGAATCAGATTACCTTCTGGATACCTCCGTGTACCGTTGACGGGGGAGACTGGGCCACCAGCACCTGCTGCTGATGAAGATGCTGTGGCAGGTGATGGTGCTGCTGTGAGAGGTGACTAAGTGTTTGCTGTTGTTGCAGGAGCAGCTGTGTTGGGGACTGCAGTGCTGGTTGCTCATTATTTTCCCTATGCCACAGAACTCGAATGAATCGGTTGTTTAGAACCGCTTCTGTGCTAGAGATGGCTTTCCTGGCCTCCTCGTTGGTAAGATATTGAATGAGGGCTGCTTCTGGATCACCCTTAAAAGCAACCTTTAAGAAAATAAGAGAAACAACATAAATTCCCAACAGCAGAAAATAGTTAAATAAATTATGGTCCATTGCTATGTAATAAATTATGTCCCTCCACCCCTAGATGAATATGGAGCCCTAAACTCCAATGTGACTGCATTTGGACATGAGCTTTTTTAGAAAGTAATTAAGGTTAAATGAGGTCATAGGGATGGGGCCCTAATGGATATGATTAATGGCCTTAAAAGAATTAGAAAAGATCTGCCTCTCTGTCTCTCTGCCATGCTAGGACACAGTGAGAAGCCAACTGTCTGCAAGCCAGGAGGACAGCCCTCACCACAAACTGAACTGGCCAACACTTTAATTAATTTTGGACTTCCCAGCTACAGAACTGTAATAAAATAAACTTCTGTTGTTTAAGCCACACAGTCTACCAGTCTACAGTATTTATTATAGCAGCCCAAGCTGACTAATTATACCTACCTACATTAAGCTATATTTTTCTAAATGCCATAAAGAATAATGACCCATGAAAACTTTAAGAGAAAAAAGATATAGACATTTGGTATGATCATTATCTTTTATATTTTTTAAGCATGTGAAGCATTTTTTTTCCTGTGACTCCACTGGAAGAATATGAAGCATTTTAAAAAACAGAATGTGGGCCCGGCATGGTGGCTCACGCCTGTAATCCTAGCACTGTGGGAGGCCGAGGCGGGCGGATTGTTTGAGCTCAGGAGTTCGAGACCAGCCCGAGCAAGAGTGAGACCCCGTCTTTACTAAAAATAGAAAGAAATTAATCAGACAACTAAAAATACATAGAAAAAATTAGCCGGGCATGGTGGCGCATGCCTGTAGTCCCAGCTACTCGGGAGGCTGAGGCAGGAGGATTGCTTGGGCCCAGGAGCTCAAGGCTATTGTGTGCTAGAATCATGCCCGTGAATAGCCACTGTACTCCACCCTGGGCAACAGAGCAAGACTTTATCTCAAAAAAATAAATAAATAAACAAACAAAAGATCAACAGTCGTTATTGCCAAGTGGCAAAATCTGGGTGATTTGTTTTTCATTTGTGTTTAACATATTTCCAATTGTTTGTAAAACTAAACATGTACTACTTCTGCAGTTAGGAAAAAAACTGCTTAAAAACCTCTCAAAAAGGACTTTGGTTCAATTCTTTGAAATACCAAGTACCCCAATATTACCTTCTTAAACTAAGATACATTTTGGTTTGATGACAACACTTAAGTATAAGGGGTGACCAAAATTCCAACTTAAACTAGTCATCAAATATCCTCAATTACAGAATAATACCCAACCACAAATTCGTAAATTCAAATATCTAACTAGCAGACAGTGAAACATAAAAGTTACAATTTATTTGATCTTGGATAACACATTACACTGCCTAAAATTCTCAAGATTAGAGCTATCCTCAACAAATTTCTATTTCACCACAATATAAAAATCAGTCAGTAGCTAAGATTACAATCTTAGAAATTACCAAAAATCTCAGCTATCTAGTTATTAGCTACCTAGAATATTAATGCAGGTTTTAAAAAAAATTCGTTTGTTCCAAGACAGAACTCTGAACAAAAATACAGTAACTAGCCCAATGTCTTTCAAGAAGAGGTTGCAGAAAAGAACCAAATGAATTCACAAGAACAAATGTAGTTTAACAATTTCATCGTAAAGGCAGGTATACAGATACATAGTGGAGTTTACAACACTTAGCAGAGATAATCAGAATAACCACTGATTCACTTAAGCAAGCTAAGCTGATACAAATACTTTCCAAGACCCGTAAAATGCCTGGATTATGTCACAGGCATAGCCACATTTTTTACCTGGATATTAACAATAGTTCCAAATTTGCTGAAGTGTTCATTGAGCTTGGTGATGTTGTTCAATTCCTGAGGGATTTTCTTGACTTCTAATTTGGTGTTTGTATA